TCTGATGAAACACATTTTTTTTTCTGGCCACATGGTGGCAGTTTTTTGTTTTTTTTTAACTTTATACACTCATACAATGGACTGCCTCATTCCAGCCAAATCTGAGTACTCAATTTATTTGGCCCATTTCCTCTTCCTTTTGCCCTTTGGACTTTTTCTTTTCTTTTTTTTTGCTGTCCAGCTAGGATTAGTTATTGGTACCCTTATAGTAGTCTTTTTCAAAATGATTTTATGTTTTGTACAGCTCCCCGCCTCCGGGTTTATCTTCTTGTCCTGGTGCCCTTTTTGTATGTACTGTACTGCTATAAAATTTATTTATTTAAAACATTATTAGGAAAAGACTTGTTATGTACTGTACTGCTATAAAATTTATTTATTTAAAACATTATTAGGAAAAGACTTGTTATGTATGGGGAAACAGCTGCTCGGGTGCTATTAGCCAGCGTGGATAAAAATCAATAATTTTTTTTGAAAAACTAAAAAATGGATTTTTTAAAAATTTAAATCAGATTTTTAAAATAAAATGCTTTTGGAGGAAAAATATTTGTAAAGATAGTTTTCTATTTGTGACATTATAGTCCAAAGGCTAGTCATCAGGAAATAAGGAATTGTTTAAAGTTTTTCATGTGTGCTAAAACCCAGTCTAAGGTTTTTTTTAATTGTTTAACCACATCAGTTAACAAACATGGATACATGTGCTATAATGTCATTGTTTTAGTTAAATAAATTGTTTAAATTGTTATTAAGGAAATGGTTATTTTTCTCCTTCCAATAAGGTACAGCAGAAAAGTTGTCCGAATATAAACAATGATTTCATAATTACCTGCCTATGTATTTCTGATAGTATAACCAAATCAGTCATTTTTTATGTAAGTGTAAAAAACTGCTCTGAAAATTTATTATTCCAAAAACGAAACCTTCCTCTGGTTGTAAGTATTAAGAGGATGCCAGCAAGGTTGAACCTTTCTGTAAAAAAAAATTGATTTAAATCAAGCCTTACTGACTAGTGATTTAAATCAAGTCTTACAGACTAGTGATTTAAATTGATTTGATTTAAACCAAATCCACCCTGCTATATTAGCCCAGAGATGGACAAAGTCCCTACCGGGAAGGAATGGCAAACTAAGCTGATGGACTATGCCAAAATGGCAAAGCTGATTGGAAAGCTCAGGAACCAAGAGGACAAAAACTTTTAAAAAGAATGGGAAAATTTATAATCTATTTAGGAGACCCCTGCAAGCAGATGAAAACATTAGCAGGATTTTAATCCCACTTGTAATGTAACAAATACCATGGATAATATGGATTGATACAAAATATTGTTGTTGTTTAGTCGTTTAGTCGTGTCCGACTCTTCGTGACCCCATGGACCAGAGCACGCTAGGCACCCCTGTCCTCCACTACCTCCCGCAGTTTGGTCAAACTCATATACAAAATATCGATTATGGAATAATATGCCGTTCTTAATGTGGATAATAAGACCCACGGAGGGGGTGGGGCGAAGTTGTGAGATTCAGAGTAATCTGCATATATGAATATGTATTTGGCGTGTTTTAATTCTACATTTGTAAAATCAATAAAAAATAATTTCCAAAAAACCTCACAAAAAACATTATCTTCTCATCTTTCCTCAGAAAGTCTGCTAACAATCCATCACATCAATTAACACTAGACAAATTAAGAGCAGTAGGCTTAAACAGCAATAAAAAGAGGTACTCACTAAATACGTCAAGTCAACTAACAAAAATCAAAGAAATCAGGGATGGGGAAACCTCTCAGATATTGCTGGACTACAACTCCCATCATTCTTGAGCACTGGTCATGTCAGCTGGAGTCAGTGGGAGCTGTAGTCTGACAATATTTGCAAGGACTACAGGTTCCCCATTCCTGAATCAAAACAACAGAATAAGAGTAAAAATGCAATTTATAAAAAGCTAGGGGGGGAAACAAGAACACGGGGTTAACACTGGAATCAAAAGGCACCCAATAAAACAGGCATAGGCAAACTCGGCCCTCCAGATGTTTCTGGGACTACAACTCCCATCATCCCTAGCTAACAGGACCAGTGGTCAGGAATGATGGGAGTTGTAGTCCCAAAAACACCTGGCGGGTCGAGTTTGCCTATGCCTGCAATAAAACAACTGAAATAGCTTCTAGAGGTATTTAAAAACTTAACCAGAAGCCTTAAAAAGGAAGGCAAAAGGCCATTAAGCAGGTAGCGAGATGACTATTCTAGAAAAGGGACGCAAAAGCAGGGTGGACAGGTACTGAGAGGGGCCTCTCCTTAGTCCCAGCCAGATGTATTTCAGAGAACTTGCTAAATCTTAAATAAGCAGGCAAGTCTGTACAGCAGAAAGCAGACCTTCAGATACATTTTATCCAATATGTACCAACGATGTTGTCATTACCTCCGTCACGTTTCCCTGGGCCTCTCGGACTTCATTAAGTCCGACAAATTCCTCGTACTTGTCCCACCAGCTCTGGGAGGTTGCAGAGATTCTCTGAATGGCGTTTCTTCCCAAAACTTTCCCAGCTTCTGATAAGCGATAAAGAACATTTGTAGCCACTTCCACAGCTGTGTTGGCTTCAGGCCTCTTGGAAGCTGGAGAGCAGTAGGCTCTCACTATATGTAGGTGCATTTTGTGATTCCTCAGAGCTATCAAATTGTGATGTTGCATGTTGTTGGCTCATGGGTAGCAACAGACACCATATGACACGTCATCAAAACTGACCATAGATTCCAGTCATGGTGGAAAATATCTGCAAGGATACCAGTGCAAAGAAGAAGGAGAAAAACAATCACTCAGAGCCATAAACAAACCTCTTAAAACAATGTCCCTTCGATGCAGAATGGCCATTTAGGTAAGTATTTAAACTGACTTTGCAATATTTAATTGCCACTTTCACTTCCAGGATCAGCAAATGTTTTCCTTGAACACAGAGAATTACATGGATCCACAGCATGCTTTGAAGGTACCAAAGCAAAAAGAGTCTTACATCATAATTTTTTTCTTTTGCAATTGTCCAAATGATCACCAAAACAAGGGATGGGGAACCTGCTGTTTTCCAGATGTTTACTGGACTCCCAACACATATCAGTCCCAGCCATCCTGGCCTATGATCAGGAATGACCAGATTGTAGTCCAGCAACAGCTGGAGGGCACTAGGTTCCCCATCCCTGCCCTAAACGTCAATTCCTGGTTAATAATGCCAAATAATGATGAATAAATTGGACGGGGTATAGTTTAGAGGGTTTTGTGGGGGAAGGGATTTGTTGCTGGTATTGATATTAATTTTTTGTATCTTTGTTTTAGATCTTATTTACCGGTATATGTTCAGTTTGGTTGTGGGGGGTTCATTAAACTGCTCCGGTAAGGTACGGGCAACTGTGTGGCCCTCAGCGCAGCGGTTTAAAGGAGTTGCTCACACTTTTGGAGAAAGAGGTGATCTCACCCTCACCTATGAAGGCGGAGGGAGCCCTGCAAACTGAGTCTGTGGCAGGAACAAGCTGCCTTGTCTATGACACCTCGTGGTCCAGGGACGAGGCAGCTTGTTCCTCCCTTTCAACGTTGCGATGTATCACCAGATTGCGACGCTGAAAACCTGACATGGCCCTGCCCTACCAGCAACTCCTGCAGCCAAGCTGTTGCCCAACATATTGCCCTGCTTTCCTTTGGACCACATCGTCCGGGCAGCTCAGGACCTCCAGACACACTGCCCAGGCTTGTACCTCGGGGAAGTCACTTTGGTGCTGCTAAGTCAGCGGTTTGACTTCACCCTGGAGGTGCACTCCATTGTCAACAACAACAACTGCTGTAAGCCACATTGGAAACCTGAAATTTAATCAAAACAAAACAAAACAAATTAAATAATTAAAAAATTCCTTCCAGTAGCACCTTAGAGACCAACTTAGTTAGTTATTGGTATGAGCTTTCGTGTGCTCATGAGTGTATTTGAAGAAGTGTGCATGCACACGAAAGCTCATACCAATAACTAACTAAGTTGGTCTCTAAGGTGCTACTGGAAGGATTTATTTTATTTTATTTATTTTATTTTGTTTCAACTACGGCAGACCAACATGGCAACCTACCTGCAACTGAAATTTAATGAAAGCATTTTAAAAAGTGGCCGTTCTTATTCCCACATTTGAGTAGCGAGGGGACCTTTGGGTGCTGGTCGGATTCCCAGCCCGCTCGGCACCCCCAGCAGTTCAGGGCTCTGCTCCTGCCCCGCCTTTTCCTTGGGGGCGCTGCTCCCCTCCTCTCCCCCTCCCTCCCTTCTCGCCCCACTTTTGCTGTATGGCAACAGCAGCAGGGCAGGGTTTTGCTCCCGGCTCCCCCACCCCCCGCACCTCTCACTCTCTCTTTTTCTTTCTCGCTTCTTCTTCCAACTCCAGCTCACAGTCTAGGATAGGACTTGCAAATGCCGGGCAAAGAGAAGCTAAAACACCATGACAAAGTCCGGGCGGATGTAATGTATGGGGGTCGCTGGAAATAGACGTAGAAGATCCGCGTCTGTAGATATAGGAAAAATATAGAGTGACATGCATCCCGAAAGACGGGTAAACGGAAGTCGTCATAGGCCGTGATTCGCTAAGGACGCAGAGCGGTGCCACTCTACCCTCTTGATATCTCCATGGTGAGAGGTAAAGGTATGGAAAGCAGGCGTGTGGGAGGCCGAAACCTTCTAGAGGTGTTCTCTGTGGGGAAGTCCATCTTTCAAACTGAACCAGTTATTCACGCTCAACTCTCCGAACGGACTGTATGATGTTTTTGGGCGTCGCTCTAACCTTTCCCCTTCTATCTCTATGGTCTCGCGCTATATCCTTCTAGACGTCACTCTAGTCTAGCCCTTTCCCCGTCTATCTCTATAGTCTCTAGCTCTAGCCTTCTAGACGTCGCTCTAGCCCTTCCCCGTCTATCTCCATGGTCTCTCTAGCCCTGTCTGCCTCTATGGCAGAAGTGGTTCCGGGCCGGGCGGAAGTGATTCTCTGCGTCATACCTGCGACTGATTGGTGCTGCTCCTTTTCCTTTCCTCCCCGGCGTCAGGGCCTTCGGGTGTTGGAGCGAGCGGAGGGTCCGGGAGAAGCGAGCCAGCAAGCGAGGAGGCAGCATCATGTCGGGACGCGACGGTAATGAATGAAGGGGCAGTGATGGCGGGAAGGCTGCGGGCGGCAGTTGGCAGGGATTTGCTGGTGGGAAGGCAGTGGGAGGGGGCGCCTCCTAGGTTGTGGGGCTAAGCAGGGGAAAGCTCTAGCTGGGAAGGACCGAGGCTTCGAGTCCCACTGCCAGCTGCGCGCCTTCTTAAACAACCCGGCCACTAATAACAGCAGCCACATCTCCTGGCAGCAGAGGATTACACACTGCAGGGGGATGGTGTTGGGGTCCGCTAATCGGGCTGCCTTGGTCACTGAAAAGCCAATAAATGCCATAGACAGAGGAGATTTCCCACCATCACTCGTTTATTCAGCTGAGTAAAACAGAGCAGAAGGTCCGTATATCCATGGTTTTCCCAGTAGTGATGTATGGAAGTGAGAGCTGGACCATCAAGAAGGCTGATCGCCAAAGAATTGATGCTTTTGAATTATGGTGCTGGAGGAGACTCTTGAGAGTCCCATGGACTGCAAGAAGATCAAACCTATCCATTCTTAAGGAAATCAGCCCTGAGTGCTCACTGGAAGGACAGATCCTGAAGCTGAGGCTCCAATACTTTGGCCACCTCATGAGAAGAGAAGACTCCCTGGAAAAGACCCTGATGTTGGGAAAGTTGGAGGGCACAAGGAGAAGGGGACGACAGAGGACGAGATGGCTGGACAGTGTTCTCGAAGCTACCAGCATGAGTTTGACCAAACTGCGGGAGGCAGTGGAAGACAGGAGTGCCTGGTGTGCTCTGGTCCATGGGGTCACGAAGAAGGACACGACTAAATGACTAAACAACAACAAAACAGAGCGGGCGAGCCACACTCACCAGTGTGATGGTGAAGCCGCCCCAAACAGCATTTGTTCATACTTTTTATAGCCATGGCCCTCCCTTTCCCCCTTTCGTGGTTCCTTGCGCTGATCGAAACAGGACACCCTGCCTGGAGATCTTGAAGGGGAGAGTTGTCCGGCAGAGGGAGGTTTTCCTGAAAATCGCCTAGCAACATTACGAGGTCTTGACATATTTGTGGTTCACCCTCCTAAATTCTAAAGCAGGCAGTTTTTTTACAGAAGCAAAATGGCATCAGTTAGGCTATCCAAAAAAACAAAACAGGACAAGAACAGGCCTTTGTGGCTTTTCCTGAGACCCCACAATGGCATCCGCAATATCCAAAACACTAATATTCAAAACCCCAGGGCCCCCCCACCTCAAGCAAAGAACAGTGGGAGCATGGCATAGGTTATGAAACAGGTTGGTTTCTTAAGATTCCACAAGACTCTCCTAATTGCCTGCCATTGCCCCGCAGTCTGTCTCTTATCACCTCTCTCTCTCTCCCTTCTACTGCAGGTGGCAAGAAGAAACCTTTGAAACAGCCCAAGAAGCAAGCAAAGGAAATGGATGAGGTGAGAAACGCGTAAGGGGGTGTAGAGTGAAGGAGGGGTGGTGGTGCTGTGGAGAAACTGTGATTTGGGAATATGGGGAGGGGAAATTGTCGGTGAGGCATCTTACTATGAATATTGTGGGCTCCACATAACTGCTCTACCAATCCCTAATAGCGTTATCTGTGGTCACTCCAGAATGAGCTGGCTAGACTTCTGTGTGTTTTGTGCCGACAGCTGCTTTTTGAAAGGAGTGCCCTTCTCCCCTTTTGGAAGGAAAGAAGGCAGAGTTCATTTTGACATCGTTCGGTTGTCACTGTGGATTTATAATTCCGGTTTGTTTCTGTTTCACGCTGTTACTAACAAATGTCCCAACAGGAAGACAAAGCGTTCAAGCAAAAACAGAAGGAAGAGCAGAAGAAACTTGAAGAGTTGAAGGCAAAAGCAGCTGGCAAGGGCCCACTTAGTAAGTGGCTTTTTCTAAAACTGTGTGCAAATGAAGAATTATCTTGAGCGATCTGACTGCTGGGCAGACATAGACACTGGGAGGAGCTCAAGGTTAGGGAAAAGGGGCTAACGTGCCAAGTCTAACAGATCTAACATGGTAGGTTGTTCACTGCTTTTAGAAACTCGTGCTTACACTTGCCTGTTTCCTCTTTAATTTTATTCTCTTCCGTGCCCTCCTCCCCAAAATGCCCGAAGGCGCCGTTGATAGTAAATAGCAAAACATGTAGCTTGCCTCATAACTCGAGTCTTGGGTATCTCAATTAACAACAGGTCTCATCAAATGCTAGTCCTACTTAGAGTAGAACCATTGAAATTAATGCACACAACTAATTCAAATCCATTAATATCAGTAGGTCTCTGCTGACTAGGACTAGCATTGGATTCAGCCAGGATTAGACAAATTCATGGAGGTAAATGGTTGCTAGCAATGTTGGTTATACTTAGTCTCCACAACCGGAGGCAGGAATGCTTCTGAATACCAGTTGCTGGAACCTGCAGGCTGGGGGAATGCTGTTAAGCTCAGGTTCTACTTTGTGGGCTTCAAGAGGCAACTGGTTGGCTACTGGGAAGACAGGATGCTGTGCTAGATAGACCATTGGCCTCATCCAGCAGGCTGCTCTCATGTTCTTAATGTACTTTTTGTGGCAGTGTTCAAACACAAGGACAAGACCAAGTGCATATACAATATGTCTCGCTGCCATTCACCACCTTGTGCCTTACAGTTTGTATCATGCTGATGCTGAATAAATGTGTGGATTTATCATAGCCTTTATGAAACCCAGCTGCTGCTCTCACCCCCACCATAGAATACATTTCCCTTCGCAATAACTATGCTATTAGCCATCGCTGTTGTGTAATTTAAACACAGTGTTAAGGACAGTTTAAAATAAACTGCAGATGCTGGAGCATTAATTGAAACACACTCGGTGACCCATCCCAGCAGATGGAGGCAGGCCACTGAACTGTCCAGAGAGACATCAAGGGCTGCCCAATATACTGTGTGTAGTCTTTTATTATTATTATTATTATTATTATTATTATTATTATTATTATTATCATGATTGCTATTTGTTGAATTTATATACTGCCCTATACCTGGAGGTCTCAGGGCGGTTCACAGAAGAAAATCAAAATATAAAACCACAAAATATATAATCAAAATAAAAACAATTCAATAACCACCCCTCCAACAAATCCACATTTTAAAAGGGCACAGGGTGTCAATCAAATCAACCAACTGCCTGGTTAAAAAGGGAATTTCCCTGGGAGAGCATTCCACAGATGGGGAGCCACTGCAGAGGAGGCCTGTTCTCATGTTTCCACCCTCCGGACCTCTCGAGGTCTAGCCTTCTGGTTCCAAGACATGAAGAGTAGTTGGCAAGTCCTGGTTAGATAGATAGGGCTTCAGTTAAATGTAAATGAGACAAGTGCCTTGCAGAGCTCATAGAATCTTTTCTGGGAGTTCATGCATACTGGACAGCTACCTGATTTTTCAGAGTTTAGACTGCCTTATGACAATTTATTTCTATGTATATGCATTGGATGAGGAGAAAAGCAGTTTATCCAATGTGGCCCTTAGTAAGTCCGGGATGAGAGATGGACTTCTGGATTTTGCTTCTAGGACCACATGTTAACTCTCTTTCTTCCCTCAGCCTGATAGTAATGTATTTCCTTTTGCAGCTGGAGGTGGAATTAAGAAATCTGGTAAAAAGTAGCAGATGTGATGCGACTACATGGCAAGAAAAGCATTCACTCTCGCTGGATGCTTGGCACTAGGATGGATTTCCAGGCTGATGTTGTGGGAAACGTGAATTTGAGCACCTTTGTACATTTCGTTCAAACAAAATAAATGGCGCTTTTTTTTTTGTTAACGTCCGCTGAGTTTCTTTACTTGTGTCCTTTGTTTCCTGTGGTGGGTGATCAGGAGATAGGGCAGAAGTCCTCCAGATATTAATGGACTACGGCTCTCATCATTCTGCTTCAGAGACCGTGCAGAGTATTTATACTGAGCAGCAGAATAAAGAGATATTTAATGAAGGGGCATGCAAAACAGAAAAAGAGAGGATCTCTTAAGGTCCTTAACTGTTTGTTAGAAGTGAGTGAGCTTGCACAAGTCTGGTTGGCTTCTCTGATAACATAAGAACATAGAAGTTGTGTTATATGCATTGAGACCATTGGCCCATCTACTTCATTACTGTTGACCCTAACGTGCACTGAGGGTGGGTGGGCTTACCTGGCTACAAGCTGGGGGTGGGGCAAGGGTCAGTAAAGAGCTGGTTCACTTCGGCCAGGGTCACTTTTTTTCCTTGCCAGGTCAGGTTCTTCTCTGGACTTCCTCAGGTTAGTTTCTCAGCGGGGTTTGGGGCTGCAGTGCCTCTTTCAGGCGGCACCTCTTCCACAGCTTCGGGGGTGGGGTGGGGGCCCTCTCCCCAGCAGTGGAGGCTCCAGCACTGCCCCGCAGCCGGCCGGCCAAACTCCAGGCTGCTGGCAAGGCCTCTGTTCATATCTAGAGGAAGGTTCATAAGTCGAAGCACCTACTGAAGGTCGTAACTGGGATCGTACGTAAGTAGAGCCGTACGTAAGTTGAAGTTCTACTGTATTAGCGATGAGCAACGCCAAACCTTCCAAACCTTTGGAACCAACTGCTGGGCTATGATGACCCACCGCGATCCGCGTTCCAAGCTGGCTGCCTTGGCACCATAGATATACAATATAAATGTAAAGGTACCCCTGCCCGTACGGGCCAGTCTTGACAGTCTCTAGGGTTGTGCGCCCATCTCACTCTATAGGCCGGGGGCCAGCGCTGTCCGGAGACACTTCCGGGTCACGTGGCCAGCGTGACATCGCTGCTCTGGCGAGCCAGAGCCGCACACGGAAACGCCGTTTACCTTCCCGCTAGTAAGGGGTCCCTATTTATCTACTTGCACCCGGGAGTGCTTTCGAACTGCTAGGTTGGCAGGTGCTGGGACCGAACAATGGGAGCGCACCCCGCCACGGGGATTCGAACCGCCGACCTTTCGATCGGCAAGCCCTAGGTGCTGAGGCTTTTACCCACAGCGCCACCCGCGTCCCTGATATACGATATACGATATCTTTATTGTCATTGTCCCATGCAGAACAATGAAATTGAAAAACTACATCTTGATACAAAGCATATAAAATCTTATTCTAAAACGGATAGGCAGTTATGATTATATTTGAAACAATTCTATGATACCACCCAGTTGTTCCCTTGGCAAGGCCCCAGTGCCATGGTGTTTAGAAACCCCAGCATGCTCTCAGCAAACTTACCTACCCCTGCCATAGCGAACCCATTGATCACAGGCGGCATTAGGACTTAACAAACAGCCACCATAACTAGAACCAGATGGCATCCCTCCATTCCCCAAATGCGCCAACTCAATACCCTGCCACTGGGCAAGCTGCCCCCATCTGGTAGGTTGGGTGCTACCCAATGAATTCCAGTTAGTCCCTGGCCATGACAGGTCAGTGGCAAATCTGACCTCAGCACACAACTCTAGTGGAGTCCACCCCATAACTCTGATGGATTCCCTCCATCCCAGCCTGTAGGTCGTATTGCGTTGGTCCCAGCAAATCCCTCCAGCCTGTGAGATGGCATAACCATCCCATATCTGTTCAGCGTGATCCCACTTCCCGCTGCATGCCTGTAGTTTGCTTCTTTCCCATCAATGGAGAAGACTAGATCGGAGGGCATCTCAGTGGTACAGGCGGTGCTAATTTTCCTAGGAAAATGTCAGCGTTTGCTCTTGTTATCTGCCTCCTTTTTTCTCTTCTGTTCTTCCTTGCTCCCCCAGTACTGGGTGAAATTTGTGTGCGGCTGATTTCTTTGTTGCATTTTCAGTTGGGTGAGCAGAGGCAGGAGTGCGCTCATATGTGCTGTTCTTGCTAAAAACGCACAGTCCAAATTGAGCCAGAGATGGCTGCAGTGGGTGGATAAAGTTATATTTGGAGCAATGCAAGTCCCTTTTGCCCTTCCGGCTGCCTTTAAGAGGGGATTAGATTCTATTGATGCCACCTTATTTCGCTTCAGCTCAGCATTTTAAGGGAATCCTTCAGCAGAGGTGAAGGGAAAAACTTTGGAAATCTGGTTATTCCAAATTGTTGTTCTTTTTGTTTTTACTCTCCCCCCACCAGCAACTTGCTGCTTCAAAGGCTGCAAAGTTTCTCAGCTACGTTTTTTGCGATCTGTCTTTTGTTTTGTAAAGTACTGTTTTGTTTTCCAGAATATGGTTGTATTCTCAGGCGCAAGCGTTTGAAAGCGGGGATTTCAAAACAGTTATGTTTTCGGTTCTGATGCCAACATTTACTACTATAAATTAGTAGAAATTTAGAAAACACCTGAAGGTTCAGGGAAGTTTTTAATGTGTGACATTTTGATGTATTTTTAATCTTTGTTGGAACCCGCCCAGAGTGGCTGGGGAAACCCAGTCAGATGGGCAGGGTACAAATAATATATTATTTATTATTATTATTATTATTATTATTATTATTATTATTATTATTATTATTGAACAATAAAGATTTTTTTAAAAAAAATGTTTTGTCAAAACTGAGAAAGGACAAAGGGACAGGATATCCTCCGTTTCTCCAGCGTGGTGAGGACAGAGTGCACAAGAGCATATTGGAAGACGTGAATGCATCTGTGAACGTATGTCACGGGAAGAGAATTTTCTTCGAAGGCCAGACTCTCATGAGATTCTGGGCTGAGTGGCAGCTCCTGCTTTTTCCTCCAACATTTCTCCGATGAAAATAGGGACGCCCAGAGGAAAAGTGGGACGTTCCAGAACCAAATCAGAAAGCAGGATGGCTTCTGTAAATCCGGGACTGTCCCTGGAAAACAGGGAGACTTGGAGGGTCTGCGAAACGTTTCCCTCGAGCATGCCAAGAGCGCCTTTCCCGCCCTCGCATGCCTTAGGCGCCCTCTTCTCTGGGATTAAGAAAGCCCGAGCTCCAGGCTTCTAATTTTAGAAATTAAACCGGGAGCGGGCGGAGTGGAGGCGGTGGAGGAAGCGGAGGCGGTGGCGGCCCGACGGGGACGCACAGACGGGCGGAGGTGGCTGCTTGCTCTGCGGCCGCCAGAGGGCTCTTGCGGCGGCTGCTCGGCTCTCCTCGTCGGCTCAGGCTTGGGTTGCGCTTCCTAGGTCAGGGTCTGCAGCTGCTTCCTCCATTGCGAGCCCGGAGAAGTCGGTGCGCCTTTTGGAGAGGGAAGGCGCCTTTTGCGCACGCCGCGCTCCGGAGAAGGCACCCGGGGACCCCCAGAGCCGCGCCTGGTGGGCGCTGGGGGGTGACCCCCCTACCCGTGCGGTGGAGGCAAGCCGGGGAGCCTCTCTCCGAGGGGGCTCCCGCGCGTGTGACCCCCGAAGGCGACGCGGTTTGTTGCTGCCACTCCGCACCCCCTTTGATTTGGACACCCAAGGAAGGAGAATCTCCCACTGGCAGGTTAGCGGCCACGGCAGTGGGTGCGCGGGTGGGTTCAAAAGGGGTGTCAGCGGGTGGGGAGGTGGGAGAAGGAAGGGGGACAAACGCCGGAGTCGATGCAGCGAGGGGGGCGGCTAGCTTGGAAAGCGGAGTCCACTCCGAAGTCAAGTCTACGTCCGAGGGCCTCGCGCCCAGGTAACGCTTGCTTTCAACATCGCAGTGCGATTTTGTGCACGTCATCTGTTAAAAAGAAGAGACTCGACGGCCAGATCAGCCTGCATGGAGCGCGATTCTCTGCTTGTCTGCACAGCCTTGGCAAATGTGGCGCAGATAAGCCTAGTGGCCCCTTGGGGCATATGCTGTCGAGATGGTTTCATAGAATTGTGGAGTTGGAAGGGACCCCGACGGTCATCTATTGCAACCCCCTTGCCATCCAGGAAACTCAGTTAAAGCATCCACGACAGATGGCTATTCAACCTCTGCTTAAAATCCTCCAAGGAAGGAGAGGGAGGGAGACCGCTCCACTGTCGCGTCAGAAAGTTATTTCTGATGTTTAGTCGGGATCCTAGTACTTGAAGAAGCAGCTCTCCCTATACCAGCCTCCCTCATCACTCCCTCTTCAGGGGTGATCTTCTAGTCCCATTATGAAAGGAGATGCCTCAGGTGGCCTTCCCTGGAGGAGTGCCCCCCCCATTTATTGAAGGCCCGCCCCTCTCAGGTACGATTGGGCGCATTGTGGTCCCAACCTGAAAACATTTACCACTTTGCCCATGTTCAGTAAGGGAGCTTACTGAAAAAATAAGCTGAATTGTTAAGTTGTGATACTGCCTGCAGGTTTCTTTCAAGCTGGTTTTGGAATCGTGAGTGGCGCGTTTGTGATATTTCCGCCTGCTCTCATTGTTTTGTGAATTGTATTGTTTGGTGGTTTTCTACGCAACTCACCCTGGGATTGTTACTGGATGAAAGGAAGGATAGAAAAATTGGTAAATGGATCTGGAGCCGTGTTCAGGCATTATACTCACGGGTAGGTACAGAATGAAGGGACATGGGTGGCGCTGTGGGTTAAACCACAGAGCCTAGGACTTGCTGATCAGAACGTTGGCGGTTCGAATCCCCGTGACGGGGTGAGCTCCCGTTACTCGGTCCCAGCTCTTGCCCACCTAGTGGTTAGAAAGCATGCCAATGCAAGTAGATAAATAGATACCGCTCTGGCGGGAAGGAAAACAGCGTTTCCGTGCGCTGCTCTGGTTCGCCAGAAGCGGCTTAGTCATGCTGGCCACATGACCTGGAAGCTGTACGCTGGCTCCCTCGCCAGTAAAGCGAGATGAGCGCCACAACCCCAGAGTCGGCCACGACTGGACCTAATGGTCAGGGGTCCCTTTACCTTTAGGTACAGAATAGCCCCCTTGCCGTGGATGCTGTGCACATCAAGGCGTCCCACCTTCTGGTATTCGCAGTGTGCAAACATCTGCATGTGCCAAAGCCCTGCAGATGTTGTGCTGTGTGCATGGATGCTGGGGAGAGAGGGGTTAATCAGCATGCATGGTGTCAGAACTATGGCTACTCAGAGTAGCTCCTGCACGCTGCTTGTGTCGTTGACTTATTTGTGAGCATAACTCCTGGAATAGGACCAGGGAGTAGTAGTTATTCTGGCTTAGTTAACCTGGAATAGAAAAGTGTTGTACATCTGGCTTCATATGAGTGAATTTGTGTATGCATTTCATGCTGCAAGTCTGAGTTTGTTTAGTTTTATTATTGGAGCATTTATTTTTCTGCCGCTTGAATATAATAAAACTTCAACGTGGTTTGCAGAAAGAACAAAACGATAAAATTGCCAGTACGAAACAGTTAGAAACAAACAATTTAAAACATTAAAAATATAATTGAAATTAACAATAAGCTAAAAACACATGTCCTTTACTTGGAAATGAAGCTGCGAACACACATGCTACCTGTAAGGAATATTCTTTCCCGCAGTGAATTCTGGGTGCGGTAGTTTACCCCTCACAGAATTACAATGCTCAGTGACCCTTAACAAACTACAGTGCCCAGAATTCATTGGCAGGGGAAATGCCATTTGTAATTTAAAGGTGTAGTGTATACGCAACCCTACCTGGTCCTCTGTGTTACAGATGCATCACAGTGTGGGGAATATGTCCTTGTGGTGCTATGGACTCTGTGATCATCATCTGAAGACCTTCTTTATGTGCCTCCTCCACATGAGGTCTGGATGGTGGCAACGCACAAGCCTTTTTTGCAGTGACTTTCTGTTTGTGGAATGCTCTCCCCGGGGAGGTTCGGCTGTTGCCTTCATTACAGATATTTAGGTACCTGGCGGAAACATTCCTCTTCAACCAGGCCTTTGGCTGATTAATATTCTACAGCCTTTTAAATAATAATAATAATAATAATAATAATTTATACCCCGCCCATCTGGCTGGGTTTCCCCAGCCACTCTGGGCGGCTTCCAACAGAATATTAAAATACAATAACCTATTAAACGTTAAAAGCTTCTCTAAACAGTGCTGCCTTCAGATGTCTTCTAAAAGTCTGGTAGTTGTTTTTGACATCTGATGGGAGGGCATTCCACAGGGCTGGTGACACTACCAAGAAGGCCCTCTGCCTGGTTCCCTGTAACTTGGCTTCTCACAGCGAGGGAACCGCCAGAAGGCCCTCGGCACTGGACCTCAGTGTCCGGGCAGAACGATGGGGGGGGGGGGAGACGCTCTTCAGGTATACTAAAAAATGTGTTTTTTAAAAATGAATGGATGGATGGATGGATGTGTTTTGGGGAAGTTTTTTTTACTGTTTTGTTTTTATTTTATGCTTTTAGCTGTATTTTTATCTTGCGAACCACCCTGAGATCTTTCAGGCGAAGAGCAGTATATAAATTTAATTAATAATAATAATAATAAGACAGGATAACCCACCTGATTGGACTCTTCCCGCATTGCAAAGGTGTGGGATCACATCTCGGTGGAGCAGCTCCCATACCAATCTGGGCACGAGTAGAGAAGGTCTCTAAATCTGTGTCAATATGCGTAACTTGAGCATTCAACGTAAGTAACTGATATTTTATTATGATGCTTCTGCAGGTACAGGGAGCCACGCAGAGGAGGATACAGTGCCATGGAAGGTGGTTTGCAAAGCCCGTTCCTCTGAAAGCCCCGCAAGATGCTGACCCCCAATCCTGAGTGCAGCCAGCCCCGCGAGAGCAACAGAAAGACTAGAGGAGGGGAAGAGGCGATGCCTCGCGCCCGCCCCGTCGCAAAAGCCGTCCAAGGCATCCGCAAACGCAAGGACTTTGTGGTGTGCCAGCAGGGCGCTCCGGCGGAGGAGAAGCCCAACATCTGCATCGAGTGCGGGAAGACCTTCAGCCAGAACTCCAGCCTGGTCAACCACCGGCGCACGCACTCCGACGAGAAGCCGTACAAATGCCCCGACTGCGGGAAAAGCTTCGGGGTGAGCTCCAGCCTCAACCGGCACCAGCGGATCCACACGGGGGAGAAGCCCTACAAGTGCGGCGAGTGCGGCAAGCGGTTCAACGACAAGTCCAACCTGACGCAGCACCAGCGCATCCACACGGGCGAGAAGCCCTACAAATGCATCGACTGCGGCAAGAGCTTCAGCCGCAGCTCCCACAAGAAGCACCACCTGCGCCACCCGCCGGGGAAGAAGCTGGGCAAGGGGGGCGCCGCTGCCCAGGCGGACGGGGCCTGCGCAGCCAGTGCCAAGCCCAAGCCCAGGAGGAAGGTGGAGGTGCTGAATACCTGCACAGAGTGCTGGCAGAGCTTCAGCCAGAACGCCGACCTCATCAAGCACATGCGCATCCACACCGGCGAGAAGCCCTACCAGTGCAGCGTCTGCGAGAAGAGCTTCAGCGTCAGCTCCAACCTCTTCCGCCACCAGCGGATCCACACGGGCGAGAAGCCCTACGTGTGCTCCAGCTGTGGGAAGAGGTTCACCGACAAGTCCACCCTGGTGCAGCACCAAAGGATCCACACCGGGGAGAAACCGTACGCCTGTCGCTTCTGCGGCAAGAGCTTCAGCCACAGCTCTCACCACAAGAGACACGAGAAGATCCACAAGGCGGACTACCCCATACTGGCCTACTCGGCCCCGCTGAGCTAGCAGGTTGCCGCAGGGCAGAGCTTTCTGAACCGCACGTTCAGTGTGTTGGCTGCAGTGCGCAGGTGTGTTGCTGCGAACGCTCCTCCTGGGAACGGAAATCAGGTCCGTTTAACTTCCGGTTTGCTAGTGGAACTGAATTGCCGTGTCGCGAAATGATGCCTGTCTGGAAAGCGTGTCACCGACGTGGAAAGTTTGGAAAGCTTTGTCGTACTGGGAAAAATGGGGTTTCTCTGCTGGGGAGTCTTTTTCATAAGCACACAAGCCCCTTTGGAAGCTAGCGGGCGAAAAAGTCTGGTGGGGTGGGAATGGGACGGAAGGGGAGGGAAACCTGCTGGATATCTCACCAATTGCCAGCTTACCAGCACATCAGCTGGTGATTTTTGGATCAATTCCGCTTCTTGAGATCTAGATACAGTACAGTGGTACCTTAGGTTACATATGCTTCAGGTTACATACGCTTCAGGTTGCAGACTCCGCTAACCCAGAAATAGTACCTCGGGTTAAGAACTTTGCTTCAGGATGAGAACAGAAATCGTGTGGCGGTGGCACGGCAGCAGCAGGAGGCTAAAGTGGTGCTTCAGGTTAAGAACAGTTTCAGGTTAAGAACGGAACTCCAGAACAAATTAAGTTCTTAACCCGAGGTACCACTGTACGTCGAGCCTTCCATCCCAAAGGGGACATTTCTGGGCTAAACGGCAAAAGCGTATGGCAATGATTCTTCTCGATGGCGCTGCTCCAGGACTGCAAGTGGGAGTGGGGTTTCGTATTTTAAAGACCTCCCCATTGATCAAACGCCTTGCTCATTTTTTTATTATTAAAAAAAGCACATTAGGAACACAAGGCGAGGTTGCTGGATCAGGCCAATGGCCCATCTAGACCAGCATCCTGTTTTCACTGTGGTCAGCCAGATGCCTGTGAGCAAACAGGACTTGAGATTAACAGCCACTCTCCAAACCTGGGTTCCCCAGCAGCTATTATTCAGAGGCACAATGCCCCTCTGAGAGTAGAGGTGGAGCCTGGGCATTTGGGCTCGTAGCCAAAGAGTATCAGCGACAACCTTTTCCTCTGATGTGCTAGTTTTCTGCAAACGGAAGGGTTTCAAAGGAATGCGGGAGGGTATGCAAAAATGTGACGAATCCCCACCACCTGCAGTCTGAAGTGGTCCAGTCTGTTTGGGGTGAGTTGGCTGGACATAGATCAACTCTTGGTCTCAGTGCAGAGTCTCTCGACGTTTTCCTCCAGAACCGGTTCTGGCGGTGAAACAGCCTCACTTAAAAAACAGAGCTCTTACAGTGAGCATCTCTGCTGAAGCCTTTGCTGCTTTTAGCTAAGTTCAAAAGCTCCCTGCTAAATACATTAAAAAGAACAGCTCTTCTTCGAGTGACGCAGAGACTGTGATTCTGCTTTTCAGACTTTGAAGCGGCTGCTCCCGTTTTTTCTTGCCACTTTGTGTAGTTTTCAAAGTAGGGAGGGGGCCCTTTGATCCCAACCAATAATAATAATAATAATAATAATAATAAATTTTATTTATATCCCGCCCTCCCCAGCCGAAGCCGGGCTCAGGGCGGCTAACAACAATAAAACAGTACAACAGTACAACACAACACTCTAAAATCATTCATTATAAAATTAATTAATTCAAACCACTGGCAACCATTGGGCCAGAGCTCCGCGAAGATTGCCGAGGGAGGGAGTCAGGCTGTGCCCTGGCCAAAGGCCTGGTGGAACAGCTCTGTCTTGCAAGCCCTGCGGAAGGATGTCAAGTCCCGCAGGGCCCTGGTCTCTTATGACAGAGCGTTCCACCAGATCGGAGCTACAGCCGAAAAAGCCCTGGCTCTAGTTGAGGCCAGCCTAACCTCTCTGTGGCCTGGGACCTTCAAGATGTTTTTATTTGAAGACCGTAAGTTTCTCTGTGGGACAATCCAAGACTTACTCACCCGATGAGGAGGACTGAAACTGTACTCCGGAAAGCTTCCCTGAAAAGGCAAGGTTTTGATCTACCTTTGGAGAATATCATTAGTTATATCAGGACATTGTGTGCTCTGCATTACCTTTCTGTAAGTCATGTTTTATAAATGTTTGTCATTCAAAGGCTGTCAGGTGTGGTGAAGCTGACCCTTTTGCTTTCCGCAGAATAGAGCGCTGCGGTGTATGGGTTAGCAGTATCTTGTCTCCTGGTTCCCATTAGTGTCCTTTCCATCAATATTTACCATACCTCAGTTATTTCGCCACCCCCTTTCTTCAAAAGCATAGTTGGACAGTTTTTCCAGCTCCAGTGAACATGCCAGTAGGGTATAATAGGGCTGGAGGAACTTTGTCTCTCTGCGTATTTAATTTGCATGCAATTAACACAATGTGCATAAAAACAACAAGCAGAGGATGCTCGTTAATAGGTTTAGCTGGATGTTGCATTTCTTTCCTTGTGCTGCCAATTAAGTTTCCGGCGTCGGGCCTCTGAGATTCTTTGCAGACAATCAGTAGTTAGTGGCGGTCTCAGTTTTTACATTGCCACTTGGTTTAGCATTAGGTTTATTAAATTTTACGTATTGTGGCCCTCTTACAAAAAGTCCCAAAGTGATTTAAGGTAAAGGTAAAGGGACCCCTGACCATTAGGTCCAGTCGTGACTGACTCTGGGGTTGCGGCGCTCATCTCGCTTTATTGGCCGAGGGAGCCGGCGTACAGTTTCCGGGTCATGTGGCCAGCATGACTAAGCCGCTTCTGGCGATCCAGAGCAGCGCACGGAAACGCTGTTTACCTTCCTGCAGGAGCGGTACCTATTTATCTACTTGCACTTTGATGTGCTTTTGAACTGCTAGGTTGGCAGGAGCAGGGACCGAGCAATGGGAGCTCACCCCGTCGCGGGGATTCGAACTGCCAACCTTCCGATCGGCAAGTCCTAGGCTCTGTGGTTTAACCCACTGCACCACCCGCGCCCCTTTATCACTGTAAAGTGATTTACAACCTAGTAAAAAGTGCCGCGATAAAAATCACACGATAAATGTAATTAGAAGCAGATTTAACAATGGAACATCGTGATGTCATCGGCTTGGCCCAAATGTCTGGGTGGGAAAACAAAAATGTTCTTACCTGCTGCTGAAACAATGGCAAGGTTGGCACTGAGAGGGCCCGTTCCCTCATCGCCACCCTCTGGACCTCCCTTGGAAATGACGTGCAGAATGACCTCAGATTATGATCTCAGGGTCTGGGCAGGTTCATATAGGAAAGGAGGTCCTTTCGATATAGGGGACATGAGCTTTAGAGGTCAAAACCAGCACTTTGATCTGAGCCTGGAAACTGTGAGCCTTGATGTAAAGTGAAAATAGGAAAAATGCACGGTGGATTACTTCCCCTGTTTTAGGCTGACTGAAGCTGCAGGAGCCATGGATGGGACACCCAGTATTGTTGGACTCAGACTCCCATCAGCCCCAGCCAACATGGCCAAGTGTCAGGGGTGATGGGAGGTGAGGCCCAGCAACATCTGGGGGAGCCATATCTTCCTCATCCCTGCTGGAAGTATTGCAGCAAGGAGGATTCTTGTAAGCAGAACCCCTGCGCTCCATCTCCAGCCGTGCTTTGCAATTCAGCATCCCCAAAGGACAAGCGGCCAGTAAGTAATGTTGTCTATAGGCTTTAAACTTGAATAATTGTTTTTTTTAAAAAAACAACTATTCTACTGCCCTGTCTACAAGTCTTTGTTTCTTAAGACTTGTATTGCACCTTGTGTTTTAATGTACTGGAGTATAGACACTTGGGTGCAAACACTGCCATCAGGTACGAGGGCTGTGAACGAACAGTGGGCGGTGTTAGTGGTATACTCACAGGGACCACAAGGTGGCGCTGTGGAGGGAGGCTTGACCATTTTTGTGTGGGAAACTACAGTTCTGTTGTTTTGCCTCCTCAATGGAGTTGCCGCTCGTGGTAAACTCTATGGCAGGCATGTATTTATTTGGGTTTGTTCCACCGGGCCTGATCAATGGTTTTCTTTAACCATTTCTCATTCCTCCATAATTAAAGAAGGTAAAGAGACCCCTGACCATTAGGTCAAGTCATGACTGACTCTGGGGTTGCGGCGCTCATCTCGCTTTATTGGCCGAGGGAGCCGGCGTACAGCTTCCGGGTCATGTGGCCAGCATGACTAAGCCACTTCTGGCGAACCAGAGCAGCGCATGGAAACGCTGTTTACCTTCCCACTGGAGTGGTACCTATTTATCTACTTGCACTTTGACGTGCTTTCGAACTGCTAGGTGGGCAGGATCAGGGACCGAGCAATGGGAGCTCACCCCGTCGCGGGGATTCGAACCGCCGACCTTCTGATCGGCAAGTCCTAGGCTCTGTGATTTAACCCACAGCGCCACCTGCGTCCCAAAAATATGGAACGCTTCACGAATTTCCGGTGCTTATATGTTATACTCAGGCATTCATATAGGAATTTCTATAAGAAGAGACCCTTCTGTGGCATAAAATTTCCAATAAATTACCTTTGACCTTTTTTTGGTTTATGCCTTGTGCCCATATGTGGCAACCAAGCAGTTGGCATTCTCCATGCAGCATTAAAAAAAAAAAAAGGCCTGATGCATTTTGGGTTTTAGACCAGCTGTCAGAATATCAACACCCCCCTGCCGCCCTTTGACGTTTTTAAATTTAGCTGTACATTTTGGATTCAGAGACTGCTATGAATCAGCCGTTTGACACAATGAAATAATTTCTCTAAAATTATGAAGGAAGTATGAAACTGTTTTTTAAAAACTAGACCCCCCTATTCGCCTCACAACTGCAGTTCCCAAGGCTCCTTTGGAAGGGGGATTGGCCCACAAACCTTTGGGAATTGTAGCGCTGTGAGGGGGATGGGGGGGTCTCAGCACCCTGAACAAACTAGCCCTCCCAGGAACTTTAGGGGAAACCATGACTGCTGCAAATGGTATGACGCTGCTTTAAATGTATTGTGCAAATGGGCCCTTACTTTCAGTAACCCAACACTATGCGTCGGACAAATTTTCCTCTGAGCTGTTTTCTCCATGAGTATGCTTATTTATTAGAAGGTGGAAACTTCAAAAAACAAACAAAAACACACTGTAAAATACACGGAGCTGGTTTATTTTCCAATCTAGCTCAGATTTCTAAGAAACCAAGGTATGGAGCTTTAGGTTTCATCATAAATCGAATGGGTATTTAAAAAAATAAACAATCTTTTGGTCCTTGGAGAATGTCCTTGTCATACTTTTTGCGACTTGTTGAACAAAATTCATCTTTCATTCTGGATATTGACAAACTAGAGTGTGGTCCAGAAGAGGTTGACCAGAATTAGGAGAGAGGTCTGGAGACCAAGTCCTGTGACAAAGGGTCGAAAGAGCTGAGAATGTGCAGCTTGGAGAAGATTGAGGGGATACCTGATAGTTGTCTTTAAATATCTGAAGGGGGTGGTATATGCAGAAGACTTGTGCCTTGTTGTGTTGCCAGAGGACAGGACTGGAACCACTTGAGGGGACA